AAACTGGGATAGACTGGGATAAACTGGGATCAACTGGGATAAACTGGGATTGGGAATGGCTGGGCATGGAGCACACGGTGGTGCTGCAGCTGCCTGAGGTGGGAATGAACTGGGAATACTGGGATAAACTGGGATTGAACTGGGATAAACTGGGCATGGACCACACGGTGGTGCTGCAGCTGGCTGAGGTGGGGAACTGGGATAAACTGGGATAGACTGGGATTGAACTGGGATAGACTGGGATAAACTGGGAATGGGCCACACAGTGGTGCTGCAGCTGGCTGAGGTGGGAACTGGGGTAAACTGGGATAGACTGGGAATGGAGCACACAGTGGTGCTGCAGCTGGCGGAGGTGGGGACTGGGGTAAACTGGGATAGACTGGGATTGAACTGGGATAAACTGGGATTGGGAATGGAGCACACGGTGGTGCTGCAGCTGGCCGAGGTGGGGAACTGGGATAAACTGGGATAGAACTGGGATAAACTGGGCATGGACCACACGGTGGTGCTGCAGCTGGCTGAGGTGGGGACTGGGATAAACTGGGATAGACTGGGATTGAACTGGGATAAACTGGGTTAAACTGGGATAAACTGGGAATGGGCCACACGGTGGTGCTGCAGCTGGCCGAGGTGGGGACTGGGATAGACTGGGATAAACTGGGATTGAACTGGGATAGACTGGGATAAACTGGGCATGGAGCACACGGTGGTGCTGCAGCTGGCTGAGGTGGGAAACTGGGATAAACTGGGAATACTGGGATAAACTGGGATTGAACTGGGATTGGGAATGGAGCACACGGTGGTGCTGCAGCTGGCCAAGGTGGGGATCAAACTGGGATAAACTGGGATAGACTGGGATAAACTGGGAATGGGATTGGGCCACACGGTGGTGCTGCAGCTGGCTGAACGTGGGATGAACTGGGATAAACTGGGAGTACTGGGAATGCGACTGGGAATCCATGGAGCACACCGTGGTGCTGGATTCAAGCCCAGAGGGATTTCTCCTGATTTTCCCTGATTTTTCCCATTTTTTTCCCCAGAAAAAGGGATTTGTGACAGTCAGCGAGATCCGGGACAGCCTCAAGTGGGAGACGGAGAGGGCGAAGCAGGTGCTGGTAGGTGGCACTGGGAACACTGGGAACACTGGGAATGGCAACTGGGAACACTGGGAACACTGGGAATGGCAACTGGGAACACTGGGAACACTGGGAAAATGGGAACATGGGAAAATGGGAACAGGAACGGCAACTCAGCACATCCCAGTCCATCCCCATTCCCATTTTCCCCATTTTTTCCCGTTTTTCCCTGCAGGATCACCTGCTGAAGGAGGGCATGGCCTGGCTGGTTCCCAGTCCCATTCTCAATCCCATTTTTCCTGTTTTTCCCATTTTCCCCATTTTTCCAGGACCACCTGCTGAAGGAGGGCATGCCCTGGCTGGCTCCCAATGCCATTATTCCCATTCCCATTTTTCCCGTTTTTCCAGGATCACCTTCTGAAGGAGGGCATGGCCTGGCTGGTTCCCAATGCCATTATTCCCATTCTCATTTTTCCCGTTTTTCCCATTTTTCCCATTTTCCCCATTTTTCCCGTTTTTCCCTGCAGGACCACCTGCTGAAGGAGGGCATGGCCTGGCTGGTTCCCATTCCCATTTTTCCCATTTTTCCCATTTTTCCCTGCAGGATCACCTGCTGAAGGAGGGCATGGCCTGGCCGGTTCCCAGTGCCATTTTTCCCATTTTTTCCCCATCTTTTCCCCGTTTTTCCCTGTTCCAGGATCACCTGCTGAAGGAGGGCATGGCCTGGCTGGTTCCAATGCCATTATTCCCAATCCCATTTTTCCCATTTTTTCCCGTTTTTCCCTGCAGGATCACCTGCTGAAGGCGGGCACGGCCTGGCTGGCTCCCAGTCCCATTTTTCCCGTTTTTTCCCCATTTTTGCAGGATCACCTGCTGAAGGAGGGCACGGCCTGGCTGGCTCCCATTCCCATTTTTCCCATTTTTTCCCATTTTTCCCATTTTTCCCATTTTTCCAGGATCACCTGCTGAAGGAGGGCATGGCCCGGCTGGTTCCCATTCCCATTTTTCCCATTTTTTCCCCATTTTTCCAGGACCACCTGCTGAAGGAGGGCATGGCCTGGCTGGTTCCCAGTGCCATTATTCCCATTCCCAATCCCATTTTCCCCGTTTTTCCAGGACCACCTGCTGAAGGAGGGCATGGCCTGGCTGGCTCCCAATGCCAATATTCCCATTTTTTCCCATTTTTTCCCCATTTTTCCCTGCAGGACCACCTGCTGAAGGAGGGCATGGCCTGGCTGGTTCCCAATGCCATTATTCTAATTCCCATTTTTCCCATTTTTTCCCATTTTTCCCCGTTTTTCCAGGACCACCTGCTGAAGGAGGGCATGGCCTGGCTGGCTCCCAGTCCCATTATTCCCATTTTTTTCCCATTTTTCCAGGACCACCTGCTGAAGGAGGGCATGGCCTGGCTGGTTCCCAGTGCCATTTTTCCCATTTTTTCCCATTTTTCCCCATTTTTCCCTGCAGGATCACCTGCTGAAGGAGGGCATGGCCTGGCTGGTTCCCAATGCCATTATTCCCTTTTTTCCCATTTTTTCCCCATTTTTCCCTGCAGGACCACCTGCTGAAGGAGGGCATGGCCTGGCTGGCTCCCATTCCCGTTTTTCCCATTTTTCCCATTTTTCCCTGCAGGATCACCTGCTGAAGGAGGGCATGGCCTGGCTGGCTCCCAATGCCATTATTCCCATTTTTTTCCCATTTTCCCCATTTTTCCAGGACCACCTGCTGAAGGAGGGCACAGCCTGGCTGGTTCCCATTCCCATTATTCCCAATCCCATTTTTCCCATTTTTCCCATTTTTCCAGGATCACCTGCTGAAGGAGGGCATGGCCTGGCTGGTTCCCATTCCCATTTTTCCCATTTTTTCCCATTTTTTCCCATTTTTCCAGGATCACCTGCTGAAGGAGGGCATGGCCTGGCTGGTTCCCAGTGCCATTTTCCCAATCCCATTTTTCCCATTTTTTCCCGTTTTTCCCTGCAGGATCACCTGCTGAAGGAGGGCATGGCCTGGCTGGTTCCCAGTGCCATTTTCAATCCTTATTCTCCTTTTTTTCCCATTTTCCCCATTTTTCCAGGATCACCTGCTGAAGGAGGGCATGGCCTGGCTGGTTCCCAGTGCCATTATTCCCATTCCCAATCCCATTTTCCCCGTTTTTCCAGGATCACCTGCTGAAGGAGGGCATGGCCTGGCTGGACGCGCAGGCTCCGGCCGAGCCGCAGTTCTGGCTCCCCGCGCTCTTCTCGGAGCTGCACGGGCAGGACGGGACCTGAGAGCCGGGAACAGCCCCGGGAACAGCCCTGGGATAGCTGGGAATGACCCCTGGGATACCCAGGAACAGCCCCGGGAACAGCCCCGGAACCCTCGGGAATTCTGGCTGGAATCCCGCCCAGGATCCTTGAAAATCCTCCCTGGAATCCTCGGGAATCTCTTCCAGGATCCTCAGGAATCTCCCCTTTAATCCCTCCTGGGATCCTTGGGAATCTTCTTCCTGGAGTCCTCGGAATCCCAGCTGGAATTCCCACCCAGGATCCTTGGGAATCCCTCCTGAAACCCTCTGGAATTCCAGCTGGAATCCCTCCCAGGATCCTTCAGGAATCTCCCCTTTAATTCCTCCTGGAATCTTGGCTGGAATCCACTCTGGAATCCTTGGAAATCCTCCCTGGGATCCTCGGGAATCCCTCCCAGAACCCTCAGGAATTCCAGGGGGAAATTCCAGGATTTCCCCCTGGAATCCTCAGGAATCCCCCCTGGAATCCTCGGGAATCCCTCCCAGGATCCTCAGGAATCTCCCCTGGGATCCCTCCTGGGATTCCTTGGGAATTGCTCCTCGAGTCCTTGGAATCCCAGCTGAAATTCCCACCCAGGATCCTTGGGAATTGTGCCCTGGAATCCCGCCAGGATTCCTGGCTGGAATCCTCGGGAATCCCTCCTGGAATCCTCGGGAATCCCTCCTGGAATCCTCGGGAATCCATCCTGGAATCTTTGCCAATCTCTCCTTGAATCCCTCTGGGAATTCTCAGCAATCCCTCCTGGAATCCCGGCTGCGATTCCCACTGGAATTGTCCTCGGGAATCCCAGCTGGAATCTTCAGGATCCCTCCTGAAATCCCTCTTGGAATCCTTGGGAATCCCTCCCTGGACCCTCGGGAATCCCAGCTGGAATCTTTGGGAATCTCCCCTTGAATCCCAGCTGGAATCTTTGGGAATATCCCCTTGAATCCCTCCTGGAATCCTTGGGATCTTTCCTTGAATCCCTCCTGGAATCTTTGGGAATCCCTCCTGAAATCCCTCCTGGAATCCCAGCTGGAATCCTTGGGAATCTCCCCTTGAATCCCTCCCGGATCCTTGGGATCTCTCCTTGAATCCCAGCTGGAATCTTTGGGAATCCCTCCTGAAATCCCAGCTGGAATCCCCCCTGGAATTCCCGGGAATCCCTCCCGGATCCTCGGGATCCCCCCTGGAATCCCTCCCTGG